TTTTTTTTTTTTTTGGTACTGGGGATCAAACTTGGGACATTGGCTTGCGAGGCAGGCAGCAGAACCACGAAGCTAAATCCCCAGCCCTGTATAGTACAAGTCTTAAGGGGTATGTTTTTAAGTGATTTGTTTCCAGTTAGAACTTAGTGATTGAGTTGAGCTTTGTTTTGTCCACCCAAGTCCATTCCCTTATAGTTTCACTGGAAGAAACACAGGTCTTTACCCAAGAAAGCCAAGAGATCAGGAACAGCTGCTTATGTCCCCAGACAAAATGCAGTCAGAAAATGCATATCCACTCTGACAACAAATCTTCCAAGAATATTCAGAGCTCCCCCATCCTTTTCTCAGATTGAAAAAATCACTTAAATTACAAGAAAATTGATCTTTCTGGACTTTCCTTCTGAAAGCTTCTCCATTTTGGTCATTTCCAAATAGGACTATTTCTGTCACTTTAGGCTGATGATCTCTGCTTTTCATGCAGTCTCAGACTGTGCAAAATGCAAGCACTTTTGTTTATGCTCTTTATTCAGCTCATGAAGGCACATTATGTTTTACTTAGACCACTAAAAATGATATATTATAAATTGGGCCCATTTAATAAAAGGATTGCTTTAATCCTGGGGGAGGCAGTTATTAGCACAGGTTGCTTAGACCCTGTGAGGGCTGTTGTTGCAGTCATTCAGCTGTTTCATTTCTTTCCTCCTCCCTTTCCAAGCTTTTCCTTTCTTCTCCTTTCCTTTGTTCCTGCCCCTCCTTTTTCTTTCTCTTCTTTTTATCTTCTGTTCTCTTACATCTTCAGCCTTTGCTTTCTGGGGTAGAATAGAGGGCGAGTGCAAAGAACCAACACATTCTGGATTTTACCCTTGGGACACAGTTTCTCTAGCTAATCATTGTCACCAGCCAGTTCCAGTGCTCCTTTTGGAGTCACTACTCTACAATGCTTCTAAAGAGAGACATGCACATTGGTCTTGAGAAGTGCAGGTCAGTCACTGGGTGGAGAGGAGGGAGGCCAAGGTAGAAGAGGTGAGGTGTCTAAGTCCCTGAAGGGAGCCCTGACTGTCAGCCACCCTTGACTCTGAGGAGCGCCTCATGAAGCTAGAGTTGACTAGGCACAGCTGTAGACTACTTTGATGCTCTCTTTGCTTTGTAGTATGCAGAGATTCAAAGCTCTTCTCCTGAAATACCCATCACATTAATAAAGTCAGAATCTCAGGTGGGAACTAGAATACACCAGGCCAGCTCCCTAGCCATGACAAAGTCAAATATTTCCCAAGGTTCCTGTCTGTTGCAAGGAAATTAGGGACCGGAACTGTGGGCACTTCCCCCCACCCCAAACTCCGAGGATGTATGGACTACAGCCAGTTAACTCCTTAGTTCTTCCAAGAACCCTTCAGTTTTACCCTTGAGACTCCCAGTTTTATTCTCAAAGGGAGGTGAGGATCACCTCCTCTTCATTCCTCTTTAATACCTCCCAAACATGAAACTAACAAGTGAAAATTTAAGGGCTGTTGCACCCCCTTTATTATCAAAGTGTCCAACTGCCACCCACAGCAGTTGTTGCTCACAGAAGCCTTTTAATGCTTCTCAGCACAGAATTGCCTTTAGTTCTACTTCAGGAAACCTGTCCCTTCCTTCTGTGGTTTAGAATACCTTAAACTGCCATCTCACTATCCCTGTAGTGGGATTTAGGGCAGTGTGCTCTGTCCCCCATATCTGGGCACAGAGATTCGTGGCCCTGGGAAGTCTTACTTTCCTGTATGGTTAAGAGGAAAAAAGCAACAACAGAGAAAAGCAACAACAGCAACAACAAAGATGGAGGGAGGGAGGGAAAGGAGGAAAAAGGGAGATTTTGGGGAATGCTGGGTGGAATCTTAGGAAATAAATGTACAATCTGTGCTGCTTAATGATGTTTAACTCAATGACAGACTATACACAACCATGGTCCCATAGGATTATTCACCTAGTGACATTGTAGCTATCTTAGTTTATGCAAGTACACTGTGATATTTGCACAATGAATTGCCTATAACATATTTCTCTGAACATATCACTGTACTGTTGTTTGAAAAAGGGGTATCTTTTTGGAGAGAGAGGAAAAATGCTGTTTAGACAGACATCTTACTTGTTTGAGCCCGCTGCCCTGAATTATTTTGCCTTTAAAGGCTCTCTGTAGGTTCTGTGATCCTGTCATTTCTTCACTCAGAGTGAAAGAATGCATAGAGTGGAAAATTACAGCTACAGTCCCATTATGTGGTAAGGGACACATATTTCAGTGTCTAAAACAAGACCTAGAAACCTGGATATCTCTTTCTAGGAGTGTCAGGACTGTGGATGAGGAGAATCAGGTAACCACAGTAGTCTCAGGTTCGAGAAACCTCAAGTCAAGGCTGACTCTAGATTGCTACAGGTCCAGAAAAAATGACATGATCTATTCAGACTCTTGCTGGCAGAATAAAGTAATAGTGAGATCTCTCCACCAACCTCTGCTTCCCCAGTAGCACTTGAACACTTTCGCTTCAAAAAAGTACCAGATCCTCTAGAGCTAAGATACAGCAGAATATTTGTAATTCTTCCAACCTGTTTGTTGGCTTATCTTTGTTCTGAGAGCTTAAAACTGGTTTCTTGCCTCTAGCTATTTCTGCAGTTTCCTCCTCACTCTAGCCTTATTCCATTACTGGAGCAAGGCAACAGCCCCCAAAGGGTATTTCTGTTATCTTTGAAAATAGATTTTTATTTTATTTAATTTTTGTGGTACCTGGAATCAAACTCAAGAACTCACACTTGCCAGGCAGACCCTGCACCACTGGGCTACATTCGGCCTTAGACTTTTATTTTTAAAAAGCATGTCAAGTTTATCTCACATACTACTGAAGTTATATTTACACATTCAAGATTTTTCAAGTAGCTACTCACTGTTATGAATTCTGGGACATAGAACAATGAACAAAACAGACCAAATTTTAAGCAGGAAAATCACTACAGTTAAGAGTAGACACAAATCAGAGAAAGAGAGGGACAAATAAGTCCTAACATGCCAATTCATATGGTATTTTTAAAAAAATCCCTATTCCCTCCTTTCCCAAAGATAGACAGCACAAAGATTGAATATTCAATCTCTGCAACCTTCCACACTGCTCTTCTTCTTACCATTTGGTATTCTCACCTCTATGTCTCTGTTACTCTTTGCTCTATAACCTACCTAAACACGGGTGCATGGCGAGGTAGTTAAGATGGAATAGAAATGATGGGTCTAGTTAGACTCCAGACCCAAGCAAGCCATTTAACCTTCTTTGAGTTTGGATTTTTTGTTGTGAGATAAGCTCCTAACCACTGCACTACTTCCCTATGATATACTCTTGGAGCAAAGGTTTCCCAGGGATCAAATGTTAAATGTTCTTCTTAAGACTACACCTACCTTTATGAAGACTAGTTGGGATGCTGTTGCCATAACTCAAGGTAGTGGTATTGATTGAAGGCTTGGGTTGTAAACACAGAAGGTGAGTGTTGTATTCGAGGGGCAATTAGAAGCAACAGGATTCAGTAGATGACTAGATGCAGCGTAAGGCTTGAAACCCAAGTAAGAGGTGGGACCCCACATTCCATGTCCCTCATTAATACTATAAGGTTTAGGAGCTCTGTTATTTCAAGTGGAAACAAACCTGGTCCACGTTCCCCTTTAGATAGTAGTGACTACTTGGGAAATTACAAACTGACTGCCTAAGATGATGTTTTCTTTTTATTACACAGCATTCCAGTGTCTTTCCATCCTCCCCTCCCTCTGGACTTTCTGACGAGCCCCAGTCTGGTTCTCCTTCGCCCAGCTACATGTGGTCCTCAAGTGCGCCACCCCGTTACTCTCCACCCTACTATCCACCTTTTGAAAAGCCACCACCTTACAGTCCCTAAAGAGGAATGCCCACTGGCTATTGAGATTATTGTGGCTTTTATATTTCTGCTTTAGTGGAAGTATTAGGATACAAAATTTAAAGTGTGACTCTTAATGCATAAAGTTTTACAACAAGCCTGCCAGGCTAGGGAAAGATAGGGATGAAGGTTGTTACCAGTGCAAAGAAAGGATGACTAGGCAGAACCTGGCACAAGAAGAGCAGCTCACACTAAGCAAGGCTAGGGAGCCAGCCCAGCAAGAAGACTGTCATGTTTGGACTTGCATTACCCTATGCTTCACTTCTGTATCAAGCAGGTGTCATTGACATGTCTCACTTTACAAGGAGCGTTGTCCTCAGGCCCTCGAGCCTGATTGCCACTCTAGTACCTTGGTGAAAGTACTTGGCTTACAAGGCCCTATCTTTCCCTACTGATGTTCAGTCCTTAAAGAAAATTTCCCAGATAATGGTTCCAGTACAGAGTTCTGGCTAAGATTTTGTTTGCTTTTTGTCTGGATATAGAAAAAAGCTGCCTGTTATCTTACTTCTTTCTTTTGTGAGTATTGTAAAAAATGGCTGTTTTTATCATTCAGCTCAGCTTTTGTTACTGGTACCTTCTAAAGGGAAAAGTGCAATATTCTCACATCTTTAGTGGGAAACAGGATTGTTCCAGAAGCACTGAAATACAGAGCAACATGTGAGCTGTTTCAAGTACATTTCAGTAATACATTTGGTAATTTGAGACTGAGGTTCTACTATATGTTATGATATTACAAAATACATTTGCTGCAGAAAATATCTTACAGATGAAAATCAGAGTTTAAAAATGCTAGGTTAGGTTGGATCATGACATGAATTTTTACTAATCTTTGTGACTATTTAATCTTCAAATATTGTGCTTCAACCCCAGCAAACCGCACGTGTCCTGCACCTCACCCCAAAAGAATCATCTGTATTTTAATGCCACTGCTCTTATTGGTCCTTTTTTCTGTTGAGACCAATCATGATAGTGTTAATTCAAGATTATGAAAGTGCTACAATGCCTCAAGTCTGTAAAACCTCCAAATGTAGCTAACTTGACAAATTTCTAAGTGTTACGGTAGATTTAAAGTCCATCTGACACATTGTGGTATTCATAGTTTTAAAAAAATTATACATAGTTTTAAATCATCAACCTACTGAGTTTAAAACACTCTAGAATCCACTCCTTCACTTCAGAATCAACACTTTCACTGGGATCTTATGCTAACCTGAGAACTGGTTTAAAGGAAGAATGATAATCTTACACTTGTATAATATAAAAATGCACGGGCTACAGAAGGGTACCTAATTAAATAGTTCTGCAAACACAGAACACATACTGGAAAAATTTCCAGCCAATTTTGCTACTTCCCAACTTGATGGATTAGAGGTAGCAGACAACTGCTGGTGCTCCCATCTACCTTATAGTTACCCGACCATCAAGAATCAAGGCACAACAAGTGCACTCATTGTTCACAGTAAATGTTTGCAAAACATTCAGTTTTACTTTCAGCATCATGAATGTCGTCTTATACAGATTCCAAATCTAAAATACTATAATCCTTTTGTGTTATACAAAATTACTTTTATTATTTTTACAGCTCTGAGAATATTGAAATTCTACTGGATACCAAAAAAGGACTAATAACCAATTGACTTACTATACAAATATCAACTTGTAATACTTAATATTTTTTGCCATTTACACTTTACCTTTTGCTTTAGTAAATGTGTATTTTAAAGGTACCATTATACAGTATAGCCAACATTTACATTTCTTAAAGTGTGAAGATTCTACGACTCATTTCTATGTATTTTTCTTATTTACAAAATAACTTGAAACAGTATAGATTTTGTAACACTTAATTTAAGCAGCTTCTTTATTACACTTGAATTATACAAAGTGCATGTTACTTTAAAAATTAATATTTGCTTTTCTTTGCAAAACATTTGCTGTAATGAAGGAATTTGTATTTCCAATATGTATCTGGACTGCATTTTGTAATTTATGGCTTTATTCCTAATTCTGCTTTAAAGTATTGAACTGGGCATGAAACATTAAAATATTAATCCAGAACCTATGTAAACTGGATGTTGCTTAAAATCTGTGTCACTGCCATGTTGGGAACCCAGACTGCTTTTGTGATGTTTCAAATTAATAAAACTATCCTCCTTATCCACCTACTGGAGTCCTAATGGTATTTACAATGGTATGACAGCATTTATCTCATTTTGATTATTATGGTTCAAGAAACAATGGGACATGATTAAACAACATATAATACCTAATGGAAAATTCTGCCAGGCTGTCATCAGAAATAAGTTCTAGTCTCTTTATAAAATGGAGAACAATAGAATACAAAGCCTGTGTAATTCCTGAAAGATAATCTTGTAAAAAAATGCACTCAACTTTAGAATTAAATCATTTTATTTTTGCCATAAGAAGCTCTATGAATATCAAGTAATGAATAACGAAAAGAACCCAAAGTCATGATAGATAAAACTGTACAAATGTGAACAATATAGTATTGGGGGAAATGAACAGGTTTCGTATGAAAGATAGAAGTGAGGAAATCAGTACTGTTAATATTTATTAGAATATGCATGCCCTGACAATACAAAGTACCTTCATCAATGTTTACTGCTTTATCTTTTTGGTACAATGGAAAAATGTGACATTTCCTCATGGTGGGTATATGTGGGGGAACCATTACCACTAAATTGAAAATAGTTTTTAAAATCTTGCAAGATTGCTGTAGCATTTAAAAATCTTTGCCTAGTTTGAGTATTTTTGTTATTTTTTGAAACAAATTACTATTTCAAATAGTTCCTATGTAGCATATCTATGGGTACTTTAGCATTAGAGCAAATATGAAGCCGACCTGAAAGAAAAAAGGAAGTTCAATATCTGGAAAGTTTAATATAAAATAGAAAAAGCACCATGCGAAGTTTTAAACTGCATCTTGCTACAAATTTTCAATCCAGTAGAAATGGGGAATGAAGAGTTTTATCCCAAAGGTATATTCCACATGAACTCCAAACTTTGTGTATGAAAACTTCTAGAGAAACAAAGACTTAGCCAAGCCTGTTGGCATATGCTTGTAATCCCAGCACTGAGGGAGTCTGAGATAGGAGGATGCAAGTTCAACTTCCACCTGAGCAATTAAGCAAGACCTGCTCAAATTAAAAAGGGCTGGGAACATAGTAGAGCACCCCTGGGTTGGATCCCCAGTAATCAAGATAAAAAAAATTGAAGACCTTGAGACATATGTAAGCATCTTCTGGCAAATTGCAATTTAACTTTCCAGGTTTCCTCATCCCCAGAAACTCCAGAAGATAGTTTTAGTAGGCACAGTTTAACACTTCATATTCAGAATTTACACAGCACAGCAGCAGCAAATAATTATATCAATATTACTTAGAATGGATAGTTTTCCATTATAGAATTAATTCTTGATTTGTCATAATAGACTTGTAGAAACTACTGAGTTTTATTATGACAAATTCAATTAATCTAGCAATTGAGCCTGAAAGGTCTGGAAGCTCTGCTGGCAAGGGTATCTATCACTCACATTGGTAGAAGCAATTATGTCTAACTGGTGAAATAGCATTAATGAAATTCAAATTTCCACTGAGAGTATGTCAGAGTGCACCCCACAGTCAAAGAAATGTTATCAATATCTACACAGAGCCTGGGAGGTAGCTCAGTGTTACCGCACCTTGCCTCAGTGGCAAGCGCAAGGTCCTGAGTTTGATCTCTGGTACTGGAAAAAAAATATCTACACAGAAAGGGACAAGATATTGTGATTCCAAAGATCGGATCCTTAAGTTATAAGGTAATTTCAAATCTTCTAACGGCTAGTTTAGATTCCCAGAATAGAAAACAATAAATGCACATAAACTTGACCCCTTGGTAAGCAAAGGATATTACTTTTCTTTTTCTTTGTATTATTGCAAATACTGACGTCTAATCCTCTCTGCTCCCAATTTAAAAAACACTGTTATCATCTTAAAATCTTGCTTACCATCTGAAGAATGACATAAAACATGAAAAACTATGATTAAAGCTTCAAATCACAGTCAAGAATTAAGACTTTAAAAAATATGTGGTGAGGAAGGAAATATCTATGTTGAACTAAGAAATACTTAAGCAATGTTATGAATGACTAATAACTATGCACAACAATCTTTCAGTACCTAATAATTTTTTTCCTTTGCAAAAAATCATTTACAGGAGTTCAAGTTAATTTTGCTTTAGATGCTATGCTATATATTTGTTCCAACCTGCTTTCTTTTAGTACTAGCATTTGAATAAGTTTTAACTTTATTTTCTAAGTGTTTAAATATGTGTCATTCTAAAAGGAAGAAAGGTGACATTTATTGTCACAATAAGTGGGAATTGACAAGCCTATATAATACTCCATATGTAGTTACCAACTGCTGTTAATATTGTAATGATTTACAGATAAAATGTAATTTATGTTAGAAGGGATAATACCTTGCTGAAAATACTAGATCACCATTTCAACTATTTCAAATGAAAACTTCCAACTGGAGGCTAATATGAACATTTAAAAATATGCCTGTAGCCTCCTGCCCAAAATACACAGGAGTCATCTATAGACTATCATTTACAGAGATTTATACATAATTAGATTATGCACAAAAATTCATTTGGTAGCTTTCAGATTGAAAAGTTTGCAACATTTTATGGGAGTATTTTTAAATATGAACAAAAAGAAAATCTCCACTTGATTCCATTCTGTCTCTATTATGAAAGAGCAGAGAAAAATAAGTCTGACAAAACCTTTCATCTCCTCCTGTCTGCATTACAGACTTATTTTTCTAATAGTTTTTTGCCCACAGAGATCACACTGCAAAGTGACCAGTCTTTTAGACTTTGGCAATATGAGCAAGGACTAATTCAAACTAGCGTTAAAACTAATTCATTCTTCATATGAAAGACTTGTCTGCATGGCTATTTTCATTAGGTTAGGGAGGCAGGAGGTTACTATCCATTTGGACTAGCAGAATAAATAACCAAGTGGAGATTTATTCTGAAATTTCCTAGAACAATTTTAGACATTCTTCTTTACTTTTTATGCCATATACAAGACACAACACACATTTATAGTCTCAATATTAAGAAAACTGAAAAATCAGCAGTAAAGTGCTAACATGGAAGGGAAAAAGTTTTAAGATGTGTTAGGGTATGCTAGTAACTCCAGTTATTTTCAAAGAACATTCAGACTGCTTTAAATTCTATTCAGAAAACTAACTCTCCAAGGTTTTCACTTTTGTCTCTTTTAAATGAGCTGAAAGCTAACTATATAAACATATACTTGGAGGGGGGATTCTCAACCTCTACTCAAACTTTCACAAAAATTTGCTTCTAAATATTAACATATAATCAATTAGGCTACCTTCAGATGTGGCAGATCAAATTGACTTGTTTCACTTTAATTGGTTTTACAGGTCTTCTAAAATCCCTGCCCATTAATCCAAACCAAAACTTTCTGATATTTCAAAGGAGTTCAGTAAGATTCTGGTATTATAAATTCAAACTCAGTACTGCCATCTGTTACATTCTGTTTAAAAATTGAATCATTTTCCTGCTGAATAAAAATGTCTTCCCAGGTCACTGGCTTGTTCTGAGGCGTAGATGCAGTCCCCACTGGAGGTTCTTTTCCAGCATCAACCTTATAACCAATACTGCCATCTTTCATTCCAGGCATAGTGCTTGACCTATCAGAAAGGTAGGCATATTGTCTGATCTGTAAAGACTTACATGGATGTAAACGATAAAGCTTTGAGTCACCAGAAGGATCTTGACTATGAACTGACTTTATGTGTGAAGACATAAACTGATAGTTGATGAAAGACTTGCCACATGCCAAACACTGATACCTTCGCTCCCCTGTGTGATGAATTTCATGCTTCGTGCGATATTCTGCAAGAGGAAATACTTTCTCACAGTAACGGCATGGATACTTCTTCTCCCAAGAATGAATGTTAAAATGTCTCCGTAAGCTTGTCAGACAGACGTAGGACCTTTTGCATACAATGCAGATATAATAGACCCTTCCATCTACTATTAACTCATAATGATCATCATGTTTCACTTTCATACGTTTGCCTGTTGACTCACTACCAGAAGTTTTTGGTATCTCATTCTCAAGTCTGGCTTCCCCTTCATCGGGGTCATCTTTGACAGGGATCACTATGTCATAAGTATCTTCACCGATATTTGCATAAACCTTGCAACCAGTTGACAAGCCTTCAATTTCAGTAGCTGTATCTAAAGTAATGATCTTCTGGCCCTCCATTAGATGTTTTGCTCCTAAGCCTGTATCATTAGTGTTTCTAGTAATTATATCTGAAATTTTTAAAGAATTGGAAAGTGGTTCTTGGAGAAGTGTAGGAATCTGCATCTTCTGTATTAGTGATCCATCAAAAGTGGGATTTTGGGAGGTATCAGCCTGTGGGACCAAAGATGTATTACTGACTGCTGAATCTGGACTGGAGCTGATAGTGTCATCATCATCGTCATCTATAATTTCCTCTTCTTCCTCTTCATTGGCTTTGTTTCCTGTTAAAACAACACTGTTTGATGTTTGCTCATTCTGCACAAGTAAATTGATTGAAGAGGACATATGGTTTGGAACTGAAGAACTGACATTTGGTGGGGTAGTAAGTGGTGCCTGATTTAACAAAATAATGTTAGGAGTCAGATGTGTTGGAGCCGAAGATACCAGCAATGTTTCACTTCCCTGTGTCTGGCTCAAAGTTGCCTGATTCACAGGAGGGGGAAGTTTCGGAGTAGGTGTGATATTTGTTAAAGGGGGAGAGTTATTGCTAGCACAGGGTGTAACATCTGAAATAGCAACAGGACCTGGGTTAGGCTGGACCTGTGTCACTGCACTGTTACTCGGCAAAGCCTCCTTTGCAGGCAAAATCTCAGAGCAGAAAATGACATCATCATCATCATCATCTGAATCAGTTACAATGATCTTTTTCATTTCATAATCTTCAGCAGATAATGAAAAAGACTCTGTTATAATTGGCATTATAGTAGCTCCATTATCCTGGGCTTCATCTTTCGATTTTTGTATTTCAAGGTTTTTGTCACTAGAACCAGGAGGTAAGGTTTCAGCATTACCATCTTGAGGGGTACTTGAGATGCTTTTAACCTGTGATAGTGGGACACCAAGCTCTGCTATAAATTTCACTCCTAATAACTGCCCTGATTTAATTAACTCATCAAGTAAATCTGCTCTAACACGGACAATTTTAGAACTATAAATATAATTGAGAATTTCTGCAAAAATCTCTGCTCTTATAAAGCTCAGTTCAACAACTTGCCCAGCAACTGAGAAGAGCTGATGAAAGTATGTACTTGAAGCTGAAAGAATATTCCTGTGGGCCCGGAATTTTCGGTCTTCCACAATAACGGTAACATCACAAAAGAGTCCATGGCCACGTTGCTCGTTCAAGGAGTTCAGTAGACTGCCAGAGTATTGAATGTCAGTTGCAGAAATCAGTTTTCTACTCTCCATGTCTACAAGAGAAGAGGAAGAAGGGATGAAGGAAGATTATGAAGAAAAAACAAAAGTACTTTATCATTCAGAATTTAAGCCATGGAATCATATTAAAAGTTTCAAGTTTTAATTGCAGTTTGCCATAACTTTCTGGTTTTTATATAAACTGTTCATACAGGCTAACTTTTGGACCATATGTCAGACCTTATGATTTCCTCCTGAGAAGAGTCAATTAAATTTTAAGTTGCTATGCAGATTTGAACAGCAATTTCCACAGTTGCCTTCCTTTGACTCTCAGATACATGCATCTCCAGTAAGCAACTTTTAAAGATTAGAATTCAATTTGTTAGTACCAATTTTGTGTTTTCTCTTCAAGCAGAGGTAAGAATTAGTTTTTAAGTGTCTTAAAATTGTTTTAAGGAAAATGTTAATCATAAATGTAGAGTTTCATCCATCAGTAAATGACTGATGTAATGTCAGAAAAGCTTGGTATGATTTAAAGCTACTTTGTGCAGCCTAAGGACATTTACTAACACTGACACTTACCTTACAACTTCCCATTATTTAAATTGGGGTGTCTCATCTTGATAAACTATTAAACACGATTCTTTCCCCTTTCTGTTTCATCCCTTTGCCTAGTTCTCTCATCTCTCTATCATTTATATCAGAGGTGAAATGTTAAACGGTGTCAAACAAATTCAACAGAGGCTATCATGAAAAAATATGACAGTGGAAAAGGAAAGCGTCCCACTTCTTAATGAATATTTCCATGAAAACCGCAAACATTTCATTTCACAATGGCACCTGCTTGTTATCCTAGCACTCTAGTAGGCTGAGGCAGGAAGATCCCAATTTCCTGCCCAGCCCGAGGAACTTATTAACTTACTGAGACTGTCTCAAAATTTAAGAAATGGGGGGTAGGTGCTGTGGTTTAGTGAGAAAGCCTTGGGTTCAATCACCATTAATACAAAAAAAATTGCCACGCAGGGTGGTGTTCACCTGTGATCCTAGCACTTGGGAGGCTGAGGCAGGAGGATCGCTGCCAGTTCAAGGTTAGCCTGAGCTATATATATAGTGAGGCCTTATCTTAAAAAAAAAATTATGTACATCACTACAAGACTTTTTTTCTCACCTAATGTTAGTGAAAATGAAAACATTAGCTTATTGGAACAGGGGAGACATAACTCCAGACAGTGTGGGGCTGCAATTAGATGGCATTGCTGTGTATCCCCTAAAAAACTTTTTTTCCAATATTGGGGATTGAACCCGGGGCACTCATCTGAGTTATAGCCTCAGCCCTTTCTAAAATATTTTTATTTTGGGACAGGATCTTGCTAAGTTGGCCAGAATGGGCTCAAATTTGCAATCCCCCTGTCCCAGCCTCCCAAAAATGCTGAGATTACAAGCATGTATCACCACAACTGGCTTAAAACACTTTTTTTTTTTTTTGCTTCACAGAAGAGGCCCCACACACAATGATTCCATAGCTGTCAAACGTCCACATATATTAAAAACATATACTACATATTAACCACCACTTGTTAAGTACCTTTAGAAAAAAAAATATTATATCCCCTTAAAGTTATCCAGAGTATCATTCTGCCTAAAGTTATATATACATAAGGCAGAACATCTCAAATTTTTTTTTTTTTTGGTTTTTTGAGACAGGGTCTCACTATGTCGTTGAGACTGACCTGGAACTCACTATGTAGCCCAGGCTGGTCTCAAACTCACAGTGATCCTCCTGCCTCAGCCTCCTGAGTGCTGGGATCACAGGCGTGCGCCAACACGCCCGGCTACATCTCAAATATCTTAAAATTTTTTTTCTTTAAACTTTAAAAAAATTATACTTAATAACAAAAATCAACTAAAAGTCTAAAAATCAAGGCCTTAAAGCATCATCCAATAGGTGCTGCATGTCAGTACCAAGGAATTGCAGGTTACCATAAAGGTACTCAATGAGAATGGGTGACCTTTGGACAACGTGCCAGGAACCAGATTCCGAAATATGGGGATTTCAACAGAAGTCACTTCTGAGTGGAAGAGCAGGTTTTCTGAATGATTTTTCGTCTCCAATAGTTTTTCTCAATGTGGGAAAGAGTAAGTATACACGTCCAGGTGATGCCGGGACTTTGTTTCTTCTTGTTTAGGTGCCCACATCTCCTGCAGGTCAGGGTGGGCCCTGGGTCAATTCTGGTTGGTCTGAGCCCTCCCTCATCCACTTTGCAACCTGACTGTGAAAAGGCCATTCTCTATCTTTGCACGACAAATCCTTGACCAAGGACAAGATCAAGATCGCGGGGGCTGCTAAGAGATAAAAGCCATCCACCAGGGAAGTGAAACAAACCAACACGAGGCTCCCTGCGGCAACTGAACCCCATCTCCTTTCCTCCACCTCTCTCTTCTCCATTTGCACCCTGCCAGCGGTAAGGAAGGCTTTTAATTCCAATTCATGTGAAAGGCCGGCTTCTTGCAAATACAGATGCAGGTACAAACAGCAAAGTGAACAAGAGGTGAGGGAGCAAGTAGAAGGTGGCGAGCAGTAGGGTGCGGTGTTGGGGAGGGGCGAGGCAGGCGGCATTGTTATGCCCCGGGAAGGGGACCGAGGGGGAGGATGGGCTGGGGAGAAAAGCTCCAAATCAAAGTAAGGGCTAGGTGGAGAAAAAGAAGCCACAAAAGAGAGCGCAGAGGGGCGAGGGAAACGCCAAGTGAGTCTCTGTGGCGGGGTCCCCACGCCCCTGGGCCTACCCCAGGGCATTGGCAGCCCTTCGGCCCCGG